ACTAGACAGTCAATCAGATCACAGTTTTACTTCAGTTACTCAATCTCCTCTCCCCTAGCAAATACCTGCCGAGTGCTAGATCTATCGATCAACCAGAGCTACCGCTGATATATCAAGTAGCTCTACCACTCCTTAACAGATCTTTCTTCTTATGTTATAAGTAAGAAAGGCCTAACTAATAAGTATATATTTGTAAGGGGCTGCGCTCCGGGGAGCAATCGCGAGGTATACAAGAGGTTGTATTCGATAGAGAGCTATAGAGTCTACTTGCGTGGTGTTTATTTACTTGTCGGAGAAAGGTTGCACCGAGTGTCTGAGCGCGTCGTCTGGGCGCCGCTCAGGCCTCGCACAGATGCCAGGTTGCAGAGTAAGACCTGGCGTCTGCTGCTTGACCGAGATTCCATCGAGGAGCTATCCCAAAGGGCGTTCAGCCCGTTACAAAGGGCGCTTTCTAGCGCGTTAATTAGATAGAGTTCTTTATAGGACGTTGTAGATAGTAGTAGCACAGTTTACACTTTAAACACGTTGCAACTAGACGTTAGAAAGAGCAAGTTAAAGATTAAATTTAGAATATATTAATAGACAGTTACGTTATTAAGACATCACGCGTTATAGTGATGAAGTTGATAGGCTAGTGGGGCGTTAGCGACTCGCTTGGGTTAGCGACTCACTTGTGAACCACGTTATGTGGGATGGTAAATGTGGTTTTTGGAAATTTATGCTGATTTCATTTAAGAGTTGTCTAGAGTCAAGTAAGACTGAGGCATATGCCAGCGTTCGAGAGAGAGTCAAGCAATGCAAGCTTCAGCTAGAGCAGAAATAGTTTTACATTTGGGCGTACTTGGACCTTCTGGTAGCTGGGGTGGCGCAGGTGAGGGTGACGTCAGTACTGCCTTGTTGGTGTTCGTGCCCTAGAATACCACCACTGCGATTAAATTAAAAAAAAACGCCTCACCTTACGCATGTGTTGTTGCACTATTTTTACACACCAAGAGCTACTGACTTATCAGGGTTACAAACGACGAAGATTATTTCCGGAGCCAGACGTTGGACGTCGAGCAAAAGGCGTTGGCTGGTGATTGCTGGTGCTGGCATTGATGTTGGCTCGCGATGACGCGGCGACTGCCGAGTTGCCGAGATACAGGGAATGGCTGTGCGGCCGGTAGCCCCACCAGCACCTGCCACTGTCAAGCCTCACATCCACCTTCACGACAGCTTGGTCCATGTCATGCGCCACATACACAGCACATGCCGAGTAGTGCAGCATGGCCGACGTCCACGATGTCGCAAAGGGGCCGTCGGACGGCATGGGCAGCGACGAGCAGCAAAAAGCCGCGCAGATGATTCAGCGCCACTATCGCGGCTACAGAGAGCGTAGGCAGCTCGAGGGCATGGGCCTAGATGCGAGTGCACGCTGGGCAGAGGTCCGAGACGTTGATGTACATGAGCAGGACGTGTGGCTAATGACAGCAGGTTATACGCGACGGTTAGCAGCCCCTTCAACACCTGCTGCGCCCAAACTAAAATACCCCCAAGCAAAATGGCGCCAGACGACCCGCCCTCGGCCGCGCGCCGAAGAGGAGGCTCTGCGCGAGAAGCTGACTACACCCGAGCAGCGCGAGCGGGCCAACTCGAGAGCTGCGCGCGAAAAGTGGAAGCGGGTTGGCGAAATCGCACGACGAGCGGGGGCCGACGACCCTCACGATGCACCGGCGACAGACGACGAGAATGTGCCGGAAGAATGGACCGAGCAGCGGCGAAAGGAAAACGAGTCGAGGGCTGAGCGCGAAAAGACAGCCAAGATGATGGACCTGCAGTATTTCCTCGAGATGGTCGACCATAAGCATCGGTACGGAAGTAATCTCCGTGCATACCATGAGCAGTGGAAAAAGTCGGATACGCACGAAAACTTCTTTTACTGGCTGGACCACGGCGAAGGGAGGCATTTCGAACATCCTACCGTGTCGCGGGAGAGAATGGATTCGGAGCGGGTGCGCTACCTGTCGCGGGAAGAGCGTCAGAATTACCTGGTTACGATTGACAGCGAGGGGCGGCTGTGCTGGGCAAAGAATGGAGAGCGCATCAACACCACCATGGACTACAAGGACAGTGTCAACGGCATCGTGCCTGTGGACGACGACACGCCGGCTTACGGTCCCAAGGCCAAGCTGCACTCTGGACAGAGCCAGACGATACGGCGCAGCTCGCTGATATCGCTCAGCTCCAGCTCGTCCTTGTCCGAGAGCGATGCAGAAGCAGAGCATTACGTGAATGAAGACCTGGATAAAGCCAAGGGCATTTCAAAGCTCAAACACGTCTCGGCTGCGACGATTCTCAACCATCTGTTGCGCAGCTCGGTGAAGCCAAACTCGTGGATCTTCGTATGTCTGCCGCTTGACCCCTCTTCTGTACTAACCCAAAACAGGTCGCTGATACGTCGTTCCGCCTATATATTGGAATCAAGCAGTCGGGTGCCTTTCAGCACAGCTCGTTCCTTCATGGCGCGCGCATCTCGGCTGCGGGGTTGATAAAAATTAAGGATGGTCAGCTCCGCCGGCTGTCGCCTCTTTCTGGCCACTACCGGCCTCCGACGAAGAACTTCCGCGCATTTGTGCATTCTCTCAAGGACAATGGCGTAGACATGTCACGCGTGTCCATCTCCCGATCGTATGCAGTGCTTGTCGGGCTCGAAGCCTATGTCAAAACACGCAAAAAGATCAAGCATGGTGTTGAGCATGTCAAGGAGACCGAGGAGAAGATTGTGCACCCTGAAGAGTATGAGCGCAAGGTCGAAGAGCAAACGGACAAGAGCGAGAGTGCGAAAAAGGAACGCCAAGTGCTTGCGCAAGAGGCAGCGAAGAAGGAGGCGGAAAAGAGGCAGAGGAGCTTCAGCCGACGCGTCTGGAACAGACTTAGCAGAGGGGGAGGCGACAAGGACGACTTGGGCAAGCAGAAGAGGAAGAAGTGGTTGAGTAGGCCAGGGGAAGATGTCGAGGACGGAATTGGGCCCACGGGGGTTCGCGATGTGCCTGCGCCGTGAGGCGACTGTCTCTACATGGGTGCATCCTCAGTTTGCTGTAATGTTTTAATGATATCCATCTATTGTTGATAATTGCGGTCAGTTGTGAGTAACAGTCACGGCATGCTGTCGAGCAACAGAATCCCAGCTAATTTTTTTTCTTTAGCTGGATTCGGGGCGGCCCCCATTTCCGTGCCGCCCGACAGCCAATGACATCAGACGTCGTCACCGGCCCAGCCATCCAACTTTTTACTTTTTTGTGATAAATGGTGCGCAAAGACGTATCCGTTTCGCAATGCAATCTGCCATGATGCTGGCATGACTCAGGCAATATAGAGGAGCGGGTGGTTGCATGGGCTGAAACAGCAAAAAACCTGCAGTACACCGATACTTGTGCTTGTGCGGCCTGTGGCGCCGCCGGAACGGGAAGCGAAAGGTGGTAGCAAGGGAAAGCAGATGCAGATATGCTGTAGGAATAATAGTTGCTTGTTGCACAGCGGGCGGAAAGAGAGAAAAAGACCCCTTGCTACACCTGGCAAGAGGGCGGCCGTGCGTGGGAGCATAGCAATGGGTGTAGTGGTAGTGGTAGCTGGTAGTGTCGCGGGCCTGCTGCGTGGGAACAGGAACGAAGGGAGGGGCCAACGTCCCGCCGCCCGTTGCGATCGAGACAGCGACCCCACCCCGTGCCCGCCCGTTCATGGTGGGGGTTGCAGACTTGGACTCGCTTGTGCGATGATACGTATGCGTTCATTGTATGTATCTGCTATGTCCATGCAGGTGGATTGGGGGGAGTGGATATTCCGCGATGGAAGCCGTGCGTGTGCCTGAATTGCAGTCGTCGTCGTCGTCCGCCTCTCTTCCCCCCCTCCCCTTCTCTCCGCAGCGTGACGCAGGGTCTCGTAGCCATCTTGCATCGGCGCTTGCAATTAGTCGGGGCGAGGTTGGCGGGCGCAGGCGTAGGCGTGGAAGAGGTTACTAACACTAAGGTTTTGGGGCATGTGCAGATCGCCGTCACCGTGGAGGCTACACAGGGCGCTAAGCGACGTTGGAGCAGGGGCCCTCCCAGGCCGATGATGTCAACAGCTCCAGCATGGTACGCGTCTGCCGCTCCTTGCAACTGTAACCTGCTTGCTTACACCTACACGGCACGACTTGCTGTCTTGCTCTCGGCTGCCCATCCCAATCCTGCTAGCATTCGTGCTTAGGGGGCACATCATCGCCACCCGCCATCCTGTACGATCCACAGCGCCCTCCAGCCACAGTGTCGTCGATCGAGGCCTGGACTCTATGCATGCGCCCGCCCTGTATGTGTGCTTTTGCTGGACCAGCTCCAATCCTGCTGTGGAAACACTTCGCTGAGACAGACAGTTGCTCGGTACAGGCGAGCTGGAATCGACAAACGGCTCACTGTACACTTGCGTACATGTACGGACTGTTGGCAAGACTTGCACCAAGCAGCGAAACAACCTCAGCCCCATGGAATGGCGTCCAGAGGCGTCCAAAGTCTCCTGGCCAGGGGTTTCAGCTCCACTGGACTGCAGCACTCTCCGCGGCTCATCGACGATTCCACGCCAATTCAGCCACAGCCCGTACCCACCTTGGCTGCAGCGGCCTGCCTGCCCCGTCTCAGCACGCTGAGTGGACGCCAAACCACCAGGATGAGCCAAAGCCCCGCTCCAGGCTAGGGCTTGCCAGTGCTGTGACGCAATACTCCTCTCGTTCGTTGCACACAGTGCAGCGCCAAATCAGGTTTACCATGCCTCCTCGCACCAAAGCGGCGCGACTCTTGCCTCCAAGACAGGAGCTTTCGACGTCATCCGTCCCAGGTCGACTACCCTCCGGTATGCGTCTCATAAAGGCCTGCCGCTCTGAGCATTTGCCAGTTTTCCTTATACCACAGACGTACCATTCGTCAACTAATATATGACCGATAACTCTTCGCACAACTACTACTACTACTCATTCCCCCCTACCCCCAACAGGAATTCCCCCCGTTCCGCCAGATCCCAGTCCATATCCAGTAACGTGTCAGGAACAAGCCACCGCGCTTCTTCCTACCAACAAACATCTCACACGGTGTATCACGGACACGACAACTCTTACAACGTCTCGAGCGTTCTGTACAACAGCATGCCTTCCCCAGCAGCAGGAAAGGGTGACGCCCCCCGCACCCCTACCAAGCTCGGCAGGAAGCCACAATCATCATCTGCCCCTAAGCTGAACAAGCCTCAGCAAGGCAAGTCGGAGGACGCCCCCACCCCCGATCTGCCCAAGCAAGCAGAGGACCTGAAGCAGCAAGGACAGGAGACGGCCGAGGACGCCAAGGACCAATCTGAGAACACGTTTGAAGAGATTACGCAAAAGGGAGAGAAGACTGCCAAAGACACAAAGGGCAAGGCCGCAGCGACTGCAGAAGACGCTACCGGCAAGGTTTCCCAAGCTGGCGACGAGCTCGAGCAAGCTGAACCCAAGCCAATTGATGACGATGACGATGATGAAGATGAAGACGACGACGACGAAGCCGACGAGACTGGCGACGATGCCACCCAAAAGGCAGGAGACAACGCCGAAGACACTGCCGATAACACCGAAGACGATGCCACCGACACTGCCAGCAAGGCTGCTGACACCGGAAAGCAGGCTGGACAGGGCGCGTTGAGCGGTGCTCGCGGCCTTGCTGGTCGCGCATCCAACCTTGCGGGCAAGGCCAAGCAAGATCCCCAAGCAGCTGCTCAGGATGTCGGTGACGATGTGCAAGAGAGCACCCGCAATGCACAGAGCACCGCAGGCGATGCCACTGAGTCGGCAAAAGACACTGCTCAATCCAAGGCAGGCGACCTTCAGAGCAAGGCAGGCGATGCCCAGAGCAAGGCGCAGGACACTGTTGATGAGGCTACCCCTGATCTCAGCGTCCTCAAGGGTCTCGAAGTGGATGAGGAGGGCATGATCCGGAACCAGGACGGCCAGATTATTGGACGTCTGGTTGAAGGTGATGCCGAGGACCTCGCTGGCTACCCCATTGGCGACAACGGAGAAATCCTTGACGACGATGGTGATCTCGTTGGACGCTGCGAACTCACTCCAGAAATGGCAAACCAGCAATTCGAGGGTGCTACCGGCAACATGCCTAGCATTAGCATCCTCAAGGGTCTGACTGCCGACCGATCCGGCCAGATCCTCAACGAAGACGGCGACTTTGTTGGTCACCTCGTCGAAGGCGATCCTGCCAAGATCCAGGGCAGAGAGTTCAACGAGAACGGCGAGATCCTTGATGACAACGGCAACGTAATCGCCAGGGCTGAGCTTTCTCCCGAGGCCGCCGATCTCCCTGCGTACCAGCAGGATGACGAGGATGAGGATGAAGAGGATGAAGACAGTGATGCCCTCGCCGGCGCGACCGACACCGCTCAGCAGGCTAGTCAACAGGCCGGTCAGCAAGCCAAGAGGAGTGCCTCCACTGCCCGAAGCGTCAAGAGTGGCGTTGAGGAAAAGGCCGCTGACGTTGAAGAAGAACTCCCTGGTGTCGAAGCCCTCGAGGGCATGGAGATCAACAGCGCTGGCGAGATCCTCAACGACGAAGGCGATGTTGTTGGCAACGTTGCTGACGGAGACCTGGAGAACATTGAGAACGTCAAGGGCCTCACCGTCAACGACAAGGGTGATGTTGTCGACAAGGACGGCAATGTTCTCGGCACGGTTGAGCTCGCCGAGGGCGCGGCTGACAAACTCAGGGAGTCTGCCGCCGGCGCTCTCGACACTAGAATCTTGGACGGTCTCAAAGTCAACAAGAAGGGCAAGGTCCTTGACTCTGATGGTGAGGAGATTGGTGAGCTCGTCGAAGGCAAGCTCGACAACTGCGCCGGCAAAAAGGTCAACGAAAAGGGCGAAGTCCTCGACAAGAATGGCAAGGTCATTGGCAGGGTCGACGTCGTTCCTGGCGAGGCTGCTTTCACTGCTATCAAGGAGCTCAAGCAGGAGCTTGGCGAGCCCCTAGAGGACGAGGAAGATGAGGAGCAGGAAGAGGAACCTGAGATGAAGGAGATTACTCCCGAAATTGATGAACTTGAAGGCTTCAAGGTCAACAAGAAGGGCAAGGTTCTCGACGAGGATGGCGAGGAGATTGGTCAGCTTGTTGAGGGCGACCCTGCCAAGTGCGCCGGCAAGAAGATCAATGCCAAGGGCGAAGTGGTCGACAAGGACGGAAAGGTCCTTGGCAAAGTCAAGGCTCTGCCCAAGATGGTTGAAGCTTCCCAGGTCCAGGAGCCAGAAGTCAAGCAGGTTGAGATTACACCAGAAGTCAATGAGCTTGAAGGCCTCAAGGTCAACAAGAAGGGCCAAGTCCTTGACGAGGATGGCGAGCCCATCGGCGAGCTCACCGAGGGCGATGCCGCCAAGTGCGCCGGCAAGAAGATCAACGCCAAGGGCGAAGTGCTTGACAATGATGGAAACGTCATCGGCAAGGTCAAGACGCTCCCCAAGATGGTTGAGCAAGTCGTTGGTCAGGAAGAGGAAGAGGAAGAGGAAGGTGCCGAAGAGTACGAAGAAGACGATGGCCGCCCTCCTCTATCCATTCTTGATGGCCTCAAGGTTAACAAGGCTGGCAAGCTCATTGACAGCAAGGGTAATGTTGTCGGTGAGCTGATCGAGGGTGACGCCAAGAAGCTTTCCAAGCTGGGCCTCACTGCCGATGACCAGGGCCAGTTCTGGGACAACAAGGGCAAGGTCATTGGCCGCGCCCAGACTATTCCCCAGGAGGAGGGTGAAGAAGAATCACCCTTTGCTGGTCTTGAAGGCCTCGTTGTTGTCAAGGATGGCTTTGTCGAAGACGACAAGGGTAACCGCGTCGGCCAGGTCGTCGAGGGTGACCCCAAGAAGCTTGTTGGTCGCGCTGTCGACGAAGACGGTGACATTCTTGACAAGAAGGGCTCCGTTGTTGGCCACGCTGAGCGCTACGAGGATCCTGAAGAGGAGGCGCCGCCCGAGGAGGAGCCCACTGACCTGTCTATGCTTGCGGGCCGCACCGTCAACAAGCAAGGCAACGTCATCGGCGACGATGGCGTGCCCATTGGTCGTCTCGTCGAAGGCAACGCCAAGGAGATTGCTGGTCGCAAGATCAACGAGGAGGGTCTCATCTTCAACGACACTGGCAAGCAGATTGGCCGTTGCGAGCTCATCCCCGTGGAAGAGCGTGAATCCAAGCCTGAAGGCATCTTCGCTGGCCTTGAGGGTCTCCGCGTCATCCAGGACGGCATGGTTGCTGACGAGGATGGCAATACCGTTGGCCGGATTGTCGAAGGCAACCCTAAGCGTCTTGTTGGCATGGCGGTAGACGAAGATGGTGACATCCTCGACAAGTATGGCAATGTCAAGGGACACGCTGAACCTCTCGAGGACGAGGAAGAGGAAGAGCCTGCCGACCTTTCCATCCTCGATGGCCTTACTCTCAACAAGCAAGGCTACCTTGTCAGTGGCGAGGGCATTCCTGTCGGAAAGCTCGTCGAAGGTAATCTTGGTGAACTCGCCGGACGCAAGTCAGATGGCGAAGGTCTTATTCATGGCGACACTGGCAAGGTTGTCGGTCGCTGCGAGCTTATTCCTCCAAACGAGCGCCCTGAGCGAAAGGAGGGTCCATTCGCCGGCTTCGAGGGCCTCCGCGTGGTCAAGGACGGTTTCGTCGAAGACAACGATGGCAACCGTGTTGGCCAGCTCACTGAGGGCGACCCCAAGAAGCTTGTCGGACACACTGTCGATGAAGACGGTGATATCATCGACAAGTACGGCAACGTCAAGGGCCATGCTGAGCCATGGGAGGAGGAAGAGCAAGAGGAAGTCGATCTCAGCGCGCTTGCTGGCTGCACTGTCAACAAGGCCGGTAACGTTGTCGACTCAAGCGGCACCGTCATTGGCCGTGTCGCTGAGGGAGACCCAGCTACTTTGGCCGGCAAGAAGGTTGACGGCAAGGGCCAGATTTGGGACAACGAAGGCAACATTATTGGACGAGCTGAGCTTGTCCACGGTGTCAAGTCAGGACCCGAGGGACCGTTTGCTGGTTTCGACTCTGCTGTCGTTGCCAAGGATGGCACTGTCCAGACTCCTTCTGGCGAAATCATTGGTCGCGTCATTGAAGGCGACATCAAGAAGCTTGAAGGCCACAAGGTGGACGAGGATGGCGACATCAACGACAAGAATGGTAACGTCATCGGTAAGGCCGAGCGCTGGGAGCCCGAAGAGAAGGAGCGTCGCATCAACCCCATGGCTGGCATGCGTGTCAACAAGGAGGGCGAAGTCCGCGACGAGAACGGTGACGTTATTGGTCGTCTCACTGCTGGTGACCTTGGTCACTGCGCTGGTCTCGAGATCGACGACAATGGTTACGTTATCGACAATGACGGTAACAAGGTCGGAGAAGTCACTCTTCTGGAGAACATTGCCGAAGACGAAGAGGAAGAGACCGACGAGGAGAAGCAGCGCCGTGAAGACTCGGAGCTGGCCAAGAAGATGTCCGCTATCTGCGAAGACACTCTTCAGCGTATCCAGCCCGTCATGAAACAAATTACTGAGGTATGTCTAATACTGATGCCCCCCTGAGCAGCTACTAACTGCCGCTTAGTACATTGAACAAGCCGACCGTACGCCGCGTGACGAGCTCGATGAAGAAGAGCTTGTCAACAATGTCAAGCCCCTTATTGAGGAAGGCTCTCGTATTCTCAATGACTGCAATGGCGCGCTCCGTGGCCTGGATCCTGATGGTCGTATTGCCGCCCAGGCCAAGGGCCGTCAGCAAACCGGCGAAGCCACACCCGAAGAATACAAGCTGGCCGACAACCTCAAGGAGCTTACTACGACTGTCGTTACCACCATCGACAACGCTAAGAAGAAGATCTCCGACATGCCCCACGCTAAGAAGAAGCTTAACCCTCTTTGGGCTCTCCTTACCGAGCCCCTCTTCCAGATCATCGCCGCTGTTGGTCTGCTGCTGACTGGCGTGCTCAACCTTGTGGGCAGGCTGCTCAACGGCCTCGGCCTGGGTGGTCTTGTCAACGGTCTGCTGGGCGGCTTGGGTATTAAGAAGCTGCTTGGCGGACTGGGCCTCGGTAGTATCACCGACGTACTTGGTGGCGGTAATGACAAGAAGAAGAAGAAGGGCTCTAGCGGGCCTATGAGCATGGTTGGCGGTCTCCTCGGCAAGAAATAATCGTCTGCGCCGCGGGGGGTGTCTGACACGAGAGTAGGACGTTTTCTATTTTGTCATGCGTTGATCTTCAAATTGTCGTCTTTGATACCGTGCGCCGCCGAATGGGGAGATGTGCTCGGCTTCATTTCAGCTCGTAATGTCTCTTTCGTATTTCGTTCTCGCTCTTTCTGAGCGTTTTTCCTTTTCGACTTTGTATCGGTGCCAACGTGCACACAAGAGCTGGAAGATCGGGGGGTCTGAAGGTCACACTTTTGTCCGCTGGAGGCAGCGATGAAAAGAAGAAAAGGAGCACCAAAGGAAGAAGAGATGGATTACGGTTGGAGCAAGGGCAGCTTTGACGTCTTGCCTCTTTCCAGTCGCGGTCTGATGATGGCATGAGCTTTTCTTCTTAACATCAGCGTTCCGTTTTGAGTTTTGAGTTTTTCTTACTGGCATGTCCGATGGACGCATCGGGTCATCCAACTACCAAAGCGTGACTACATCCCCACATACAACGGGCCTCCAGGCGACAAGAGGGACTACATCCCCACATACAACGGGCCTCCAGGCGACAAGAGGGACTACATCCCCACATACAACGGGCCTCCAGGCGACAAACGCGACATTGCATCTCCCGCCGAGGACCTGCAAGAGCGCGACGTTCCATGGCCGTACGAAGCTACGCCTACGCCCGAGGACCCGCCGCACAAGCGCGAGCTGGACGCGCGAGACGACGCGCATACAGACCGCATGTATGTCGTTGGGCGCCGCGCTGCTAGCACCGGCACCGGCACTGGCACTGGTGCACCGCTTGTGACTGCGAGCAGCGGCGCTGCTTCTTCTGGTGCAAACGGCACGCATGTTACGACGGGGAAACCTACGCGTACGAATGGTCCTGGGGCTACGGGCACGGGTACGGGTGCCGTGGGGGTTCCCAACGAGGGTGTGCAGCAGAGTGGTCGGGGAGTCATTGTTATGGGTGTGACTGCGTTTGCGGCCGTGTTTGCCGTGCTGATGCTGTGAGGATTTGAGATTTCTTCTTGAGCAGCCGTGGTAGTAGTTTGAAGAGGAGGAAGAGGGGGGGGATGTGGTGTGGTAATAGGACGGGTAATGTGTGTGTGTATATAAAGACCAGGAGCTGGACCAGAGAAGAAAAAAAAAAAGAGTAACTAATGTTTATCAAGAATATTGTTTTTTTGGTATCCGTCAGTCAAAACACTACAAGCGAGAAACACGATACGCAATGTCAAAGTCCAAAGATTAGAGCAAAAGACCCATTATTACGCAACTATTTACTTCTCTCATCACCTGCTAATCGTACAAGCTGTGAACAAGCCATAACGCCAATGCTAAAAAAAAATAAAATCAAAGTACTAAAACTTGCTTTTTTCGGTGTGCGACAAAGAAAAACCCGGTTGGTCAAAGCCAAAGATGCTCACGCATAGACAATCTCTCGAGGCCTCAGAGAGAATTGCTCGCGGCATGATGGAGGGTCGCCTGGAGGCCCATTGTATGTCGGGATGTAGTCCCTCTTGTCCCCAGGAGGTCCATTGTATGTGGGGATGTAGTCCCTCTTATCCCCCGGCGGCCCACTATACGTGGGAATCTAATCGCGCCTCTCCCGCGGCGCCTCATCAGCGACCTCGAGCCCGCGTTTCAAGCCCGGAGGAGCCGAGTACGTGGGGATCTTGTCGTCGTCGCGCCTGTGGGCATACGGAACCGGGGCCGCAGTGCGTTTGTGGCTGCCCTTGGTCTTGTTGGTGTTTGTGGTAGTGGGCTGGGCATTGTCGCGGCGGCGATGCTGGTGGACTGCGTCGCCGTCGAAACTGCCGACTGTGCGCTTTACCTGCGAGGGCCCCGTCGGGTTCGCGGGCGCATTGTCCCAGAAACCGGTGTCGCTGCCGCTGCCGGTGTCTGACGAGGCGCCGCGTTGCACGCATCGCAGGCTGCCGATGGGCCCGATGCGGATTAGCGATTGAGAGAGCTCGCTGGCTACTCCGCCGTTGTCCTTGACGATTTCTCCAGGCTGGATTTGAGGCGGCGTTGTGTCTGTGTAGGTGTAGCAGACGACCTTGTTGACGTCGAGGTCGTCGGAGGCTGATTGGATGGCAAGGCCGCACACGGGCTTGAGCGCCTTGGGAATGGGCGCAATGGTGTCGGCCTCGACGGTGAAGTTGGTTTGTGGAGACGACGACGTGAAGTCTGAGCAGCGGTGCGTCGAGAGCGTGACTGTCGACGCCGAGGCTGAGGTAGCCAGCGCGGCAGCAGCAGCAGCAAGGGCGTTGTTGGACTTCATCTTCTTCTTCTCCTTTTTTTCTTAACGACTTGCTACTTCAAAGGAAACGGACAGAAGGGAAAACCTCAAAGGGCGGGCTCGTCAAGCTTGTTCCTGCTGGGGTTCGTTTCGTTTGTAGGTCGACGAACGGGGATATATATATATATATTTGAGATTAGATTTCCGAGCCATGCCGTTTCTTCACCGGTGTGCAACATCTAGACATTCCATGGCGCGGCCCAATACCGCCTGCTTACGCCGACGGTTCTCGAACTGGGGTGCAGTGAGTAAATATGGACCTCGTATTTTGACTCCAACTTTGCTAGTACTTTCAAATGCCGAAGTAAGTAGTACGGCATATACGTAACCTTTTCCTGTCAAGATGGTTAGTGGTCTGATAGTTGCTATTGCTTCTGTGCCGATCTCCATGGACCATGCGTTTTGCGAAATCCGGCGATGAAAGCTCTGTGTACCTCTAATTCATAATCGAACTGGTACTATATTTTTGCCCTTTCTGCCCATAATTAGTGCAAATCTTCCCTTCGATTGCCCTGCCATGTCAGCAAGGGGAAGGTAATATGGGACGTGTCCGCCTAATCGAAAGGGCATAAAGTTTTCTAATAGTTGACTATGGTGATTGAAACAAGAATTTGGGGTACGTGCGGTCATCTTACAACTACTCGGCCCGTCTCCGACCCCCCCTTTGTAATGTGAGACGTGGGGCCTAGATCGGGAGTCGAAGCCGATTCTTGGAATGACATGCGATTCGTATACGGGCTTCGCGTCCAGATTTCAAGAAATGATCAGCGGCCACTTGTACGGGCCGGGGAAACGAAGATACCGTAAGCTGACGTGCATAGACATTTCTATTAGTAGTAACGTGACCGATACGTACGTGCTAAGCCTTGCGAATTAGAGTGAATGAATCAAGAGTACAGGTCCCCGTCCTCTGTAGAATCGCCGAAGCCACCCTCGGCAATGTCAACACTGCTCTTGCCTACGTGGCTGGAGACCGAGGATTTTCCGTTTCCTCGACTACCACCCGCGCCGCCCTCGCCGTTGAGGTCAAGCTTTTCGGCCCGAATGACAATTGTTTCTGCGTCGTCGATTGGTACTGCAGCCTTCCCCTTGCCCTTGCCGTTTACAGCCGGCTGGAGAGCTTGATTACCACCTGTCTTCTCTTCTTCCTTCTTTCCAGCTCCTTCAAACTGTCTCCTCACGCGGTCATAGTGGCGCAGTTCGTCCGCACTAACACTGGGTACTAGCTCCTGGTGGGCTTCGACAAAGTCTTCCTCTGTTACCATGACTGCCGTGTCTTCCTCGGTAGCAATGTGATCGAAAAAGTATGCAATGGAAATGTTGGACGAGTGCGCTTCATTGTAGGCCTTGACCTTGTCGTCGACCATTTTGGCACTGCGAGTGATGGCTTTGAGCATAGCATCCGAGCACAGGGCATACATGTCTGCGCCTGTGTATGTAAAGGGCAGCCCTTGCGAAACTCGCTTAAGGGAGAGTGAGGGATGTAGGGTGAACCTAAAATGAGCATTAGCGTGAGTAAGATGAAGCGAGTCTGGAAAACATACTTCCTTGTCAGGGCTTCTAGAATGGTCTGCTGCTTCTCATGCGTATCGGATACGCCCAGGTACAGCATTTTGTCGAAGCGACCGGGTCGCAGCAGTGCCTGGTCAAGTAGATCTGGACGGTTGGTTGCACCAATGACAAAAACACCCTCTCCCCCATCACTCATGCCGTCAAGCTCGGCTAAGAGTTGACTGACGATGCGGTCCATGACACCGCCGCTGTCGCCCTGATTGCCTCGCTTAGGCGCAACCGAGTCCAGTTCGTCAAAGAAGACGACGCAGGGTCGAGCATCACGAGCACGCTGAAAGACGCGCCGCACATTGGCCTCAGACTCACCAATGTACATGTTGAGCAACTCCGGGCCCTTGACACTAAAGAAGTTAAGCGAGAACTCTGTAGCGATGGCCTTGGCAAGTAGTGTCTTTCCCGTTCCTGGTGGGCCGTAGAACAGAATGCCGCTACGCTTCTTCATGCCTTTGGCGAATAGCTCAGGACGCGACAGCGGCAGCTGAATGGTTTCCATGACTGCGTCTTTGACGTGCGTGAGACCACCGACATCTGACCAGCCTACATTTGGGATCTTGGGGGCTCCAATTGCATCGGCAAAGTTCTTGCGCGCTGCATCCACCGCACCGTCCAGGTCAGCCTTAGTAAGACTACTGCTTAAATGGCCACCGGCGAGCTCGATATCGCGCAGAGTGACGGCATCTGCCGACTTTGATGCTTTTGTAGCAGCTGTGGCAATGGCCTCGAGACGTTGCTGCTTAGCGACCAATGCCCGATCAACCACGTCCACGAGATCGCCTGCCACCAGTGCTGCAGTCTTGACTGCAACATTGCCCAAGTCAGCGTCGGGCGACAGCCGTATGCCAGCGTCGTCGATGATACTCCTCAGAATGCCTTCTCTCTCTGCTTCATCGGGAGCCGTCATGTCGATTTCATGCGTAAAGAGTCCTCGGATGCCTTCGGGCACCTTGTCGATTTCCGTGGTAGTTGCAATCAGCACGCGGGAGTCGGCCAATATCTCCTTCAGTGCAGTGTTCATGCGATCCGCATTCAGCGCGTCAATGTGCTTGACAAGCAGCGCTGTATATTCGGCACCGCATGTCAACGCTCGCTCCGCTCTTGCTTTGAGGAATCCTTCGGTTTTGACGTCGCCCCCTCCAGCACCACCCTCTGTCACAATGTCGAAAGCGTCAATGGAGAATGTGTGCAGGCCGAGATCCTCACAAGCTTTTGTCGCAATAGTAGATTTACCAATGCCACGTTGGGTTGAGGTAATCAAAACTGCAATGGGCGGCAGGCCCAGGTGAATGGCTCTGGGACTCGTCGCTACGGACATGAGTTCTCGTAACCGTCGCCGAAGCGGTGAGATGTAGGGCTTGGGTAGGTCATCCATGGTCATTGTCTTTTGGGAAGCCGATACAGGCGCTCGCTTGGCGCCCAGGTAGTACTGCCACGCATTGTTGATAGGAGCCGGAGTCTTGCCCTGCTCGCTGCCATGCATCTCCATTTTTGTGCTGGCAGCGTCCACAGTCACGGCGCCACCCCACACATCAGCCTCTTCACCATCAGGAGACGAATGCGATGAAACAGAGACGTTGCCAATCTTGAACCAAGAGACGACCTTTGGGTTGCGGCTGCTAACTCCACTCTGCTCGCTGGCGCGTGGTTTGGCCTTGGCCAGCAACTCTTCGCTCCCGGCATCCTCCTCAGTGCTAGATTGGAAAACGGCGCGACCAAGAGACTCGTCGATCGAGACGCCGATGAGATCACCACTCTTGACCACTCGTCGCTTCTGCTCAAAGTGATCCTTCAAAGCCGCGAAGAGACTGGGTTGCAGTAGCCGGTCAGATGATAGTGGCGTCGACACTTTCAAGAGAGTGACTTCTTTAGCGGGAGGCGGTAGCGAGGAGCCGGTCAAACGAGGCTTCTGGAGGGTACTTCTAGGGAGATGTGAAGACTGGTTGGGGGCCAAGGGCGTGATGCGCAGATGGGACGGGCTTCCCAAATTAGCAAGGAGGATCGGTGAGAGATAGGCATGGAGTGACGACGTTGGCTGTGAAAAGCCCGAGAAGCTGCTTCTTCGGTCAAGCTCAGAGCTCTTTTGCACCGGGTAGCGTGCGACCTTCTTGGACATGTTCTCTGGCAGGCCAAAGACCCTGACAGGTCTCCAGTTGGAGTTGTCCTCATCATCTACGCCGCCGAAGCCACCCAGACCAAAGAGAGGATGCGAAGAGGGCGCTTCGGTGCCCTCAATCTTGACCCAGTCGCCGGAGAAGCAGCCGACCTTGACCAGCGTGTTGATGTCGACAAATACACGAGCCTCTTCGTCGTCCTCGGTTCCGGGCTTTGGGTGGACAAGATCATCTGGGACGCTTTGAAGGAGTCCCTGGGCCTTGAAGACTTTGCTCCTGCTGGTGGGGCCGCGGGCGGTAGTGGCTGTAAAGCTCGAATACACGGATCCTGGGGTAGCGATCCCGTTTGTGCGAAAGTTGCCAGGTCGCGGCGTGGCAGAGGTAAAGGATGACAGCACTCCGGACGACTGAGGCGGCAGCATGGGCGCATTGAGCGAGATGATGTCGTCGGACTCGTCGGACAAATCCCCCGCATCGCTTTCCAAGAGCTCTGATTCGAAATTATCGGCGGACTCGTCTTCGGGGGCAGATAGGTTGCGCGAGTCAGAGCGGTCCTCTGCAGCCGAGTAAAATGTATCATTTGAAGTGTCGTCGGCTTCGTCGTCGTCGCCGAAGCCATTGGCCTGCTTCACCGGGGGGAGAAGGACGGGCTTTTTGGAGCTGCTGCGGTGTGACTGCAGTATGACAATTCGCGTGGTTGGCAGAAGCAGGCCCTGCGAGAAGGGCTCGCAAGCAGTGATTTTGGCCGGAGGGGGCGGGACGTGGGTTATGGGGTGGGCCGGGAGGTTCAGCGGGAGCAAGTCGCCGGTGTGCAGGACAGTCGGGAGTTGCAGGGCTTCGCGTACGGCCTTCTGCCAGACGTCTTCCTGGGCAGCAGCATCGACGTGTTTCCCCCGGGCGCCGTTCGCTTCCAAGGGTCGGCTCCTGGGACTGCGTGCGGCGCCATTGACATGAGGAATGAAGCCGCCGCCAAACTTGGCGTGCACGTCGTCGAGCTTCCTCAGGGCTTCCGTGTCCAGGTTGACATAGAGCGTGTCCAGGCCGACGGGGACGACGTCGTATACACGCACCTCGATGGGCGCATCCCTTCTCTGTGCTCTGTTTGGGGCGACGGCCTGCAGGATGTGGGAGAAGGACTGCAGGGCCAGCGACGAGGCCGGGAGGTGAATCGACGAGTGGGCGCGCGCGGTGCCGTTCTCGGTGTTCCCAGCCGCGCGCACGGGGAAGATGGTCCACGGCGTGGTGTTGGAAGCGACGACCGACGTGGGCAGCCACGGGGTCATGGCAACGTACCGGATGCGATGCGACTCGAGGGCGTCTCCATTCGTGCCTGTCGTGGTCAGCCTGCTTTTGCCTGCGCTGGCGAGGAATCAACCTACCAGCGCTGCCGCCCTTGGAGGCAGGAAATAAATCATTGAACAGGTCCTCGGACAGCACGCCAATCTCACCCGGGGTGCGGTCGTCGAGCAGCAGGCGCGCCGAGACGGGCGGGCGGTCAAGCCGCCTTCTTCGTCGCCTCTTGCGGGGGTTCTCGGCTCTGTGTGTCGCGTCCATGGCGGTGGGTGGTGGTGGATGTGGATGTGCGCCAATGGAGCCGAGTGGGAGCAGCCAATGCTCGGTGTTGGGAGCATGCGATGCGCTCGGAGACGTGACGGTGGCATGCGAGCCGTATAGCCTCGGTAGCCAGCCCGGGGGGGGGCGACCAGGGTCTCTCGCCGCCGACATGGACGCCGACACTGACACCAACACTTGTACTTGCACCTCCACCGCACACACACACATACACATCGCCATTGCCAGCGGCACAGCAAAACGCTCGACCGCACCGCACTCGGCCAAGGGGCGCCGCTGCATCCACGGCCGGCTTGTCGCGTGCCGCCCATTTACAGGAGTGAGAGCACCTGTCTGCATCCGCAGCACACACACACTGCACATGGCGGATCCGATCGGTCCTGGCCAATCACACGAGTCAACAAGTCGAGACATGGCAATGTTCCAAGTGCAAGTGCGAGCACGAGTAGTCCACCATCAGGCCCTCGGATAGGTTATGCAAGCAAGACGTGGGGCGCGCCTTGCCGGCTGCTCTGCACATGGCGGCATGGGTTGTTGAGATGCATCCATCGCGCGCGGGCCTCGCTGATTCGCCACCTCATGTCCATATCCACCTGACGTAATGCCATTTCCTACCAAGGGGCAGCCGGCTCCAGACCGCCCATCACAACATGCACAAAACCCACCATGTCTCTGGACTCGTGTCGACGGCCGTCTACTCCACGTTCCGCTGTTTTCTCCACCAGGCGGCCCTCCCCCAGGCCGTCGTCACACGGTTGGGCCGCGTCCTAGGTCAACATGCCCACTGCGACAGCTGTCAAGCAGCGCATTCAGGAACAACTTCACCACGACCAAGACCACGACACACCAGCCCCCCAGGCAGCGCTCGAGTTTGCACGCCAGGCTGAGCGTCTGGGCCAGTACACGCCAGAACAGGAAGACGAGACGACTGGCTCTACCCAGGCCACCGAGGCGCTCTTCATCACCCCCCAGGATCCTGTAATCGAAACTGCAAATGGACATCGACTGCCTGCCGTGCCCCTGGAAGAAGCCACCAAGCTCAACGAGCTGCGCAGCGCCATTGACAAGGAGCATCCGCCACAACAGGGGCCTTTATCACCACGCCTGCGTGAGGCAAAAGATGGGACAGTCCACGGCCTTCTTCCAAAAGAAGCCGAGATAAAGGGCGAGGGCTTCTCCGATGTGCCCCTGGGCGATTCCAAAGCGCCTTGGAAGACCAACCCGCTCTTCCCGCCATTGCCCATGTACGGGCCCCCCACGCTGCTGAGAAGGTGCCAGTGCTTGTTCTTTCGCGTCTGCTCGGGGATCCTGTCATTTCTATTCCTTCTCGTCATCATCCTGGGCGCTGCATTCACATCTCTGCCGGGCATAACCAAGAATCTCTTCCTGTTGCTCACCTTTCGCAACCCCGACAAGCGGCGCATCTTTTACGACGAAGAGGTCAAGCGCAAGGAAGCCAGGAGGGCGGCAGAGCATGCGTGGAAGAGGCAAAGCAGGGCATTGTCAGAGAAAAAGGGGAACGGAGAAGACGGGCGGACAGATACTGAATACGTGCCCCTGGAAGGTGGTCCTGATCCCCTGGTCTGCGATGTTCGCTACTACGCGCGCCGCGTCGGGTTGGACTGCGAAATCTTCGACGTGCAGACCGAGGACGGTTTCATAATCGAGCTCTGGCATCTCTACAACCCCCGCGACTACAAACGTACAAATCCCTCGCAACGCTCACCACACTCACCCGACATCTTTCCTGGAGACGGCACTCGTGTCGCTGGCTCACAGTATGGGCCCGGCGAAAAAAAGTACCCGGTACTCATGATCCATGGCCTCTTGCAATCCGCGGGTGCATACTGTACCAACGACGACGACAGTCTTGCATTCTTCCTGGCCAAATCCGGTTACGATGTCTGGTTGGGCAATAACAGATGCGGGTTCAAGCCTCGGCACAGCACCCTGGACTACGGCGACCCCCGCATGTGGGCGTGGAACATTCGCCAGATGGGTGTCATGGACCTGCCTGCCCTCATTTCACGCGTGCTGTCCGAGACGGGCTTCGAAAAATTGGGCCTCATTGCGCACAGCCAAGGCACAACGCAAACTCTGGTCGCCCTGGCCAAAGAACAGCGCCCGGAAATCGGCGACAAGATTAGCGTCTTTTGCGCATTAGCACCTGCCGCCTATGCTGGTCGTCTGATTGAAAAAGCGCAGTTCAAGTTTATGCAGGTCATTAGCCCCAACATGTTCCGCGCCGTGTTTGGCATTCACGCCTTCATCCCGTTGATGATGACGATGCACCGTCTCCTCCCGGGGAAATTGTATGGTGCCATGGGGTATCGCGTCTTTTCATTCTTGTTCGACTGGACGGATGCGCGGTGGGACCGCGGTCTGCGAGACCGGCTGTTCCAGTTTGCTCCCGTCTATGTGAGTGCCGAGAGCATGCGATGGTGGCTGGGACGAGAGTGTTTTGCAAAGCAAAAGTGCATCCTGGCTACAAGAGAAGAAAAGGCAATCGAAGACCGAGAAGACGAAGAGCGCGAGCGCAGGAAGCGAGAAGCAAAGGGAGAAGCGCAAGTCGAAGACGATGCAAACCAAGAAGACAAGAAGGCTGCTGCGCGCTTTGCATGGTATGGGCCGCGGACGCCTCCGTTCGCGCTCTGGGTATGCGGCGATGACCACCTCGTCGACGGGCGGCGACTGCTCCGTCGGTTTGAACATGACCGCGAGCCGCATGTCGATGTGGTGCACTCCAAGGTCATTGAAGGATACGAGCACTTGGACGTGATCTGGGCCGTGGACGTGATTGAGCAAGTGGGCAACGAGGTGCGCGAGGTAATATGGAAGACGGCGCCAGAGGATGCACGCAACATGTGCCGGACGCCCAAGGGCTGCGAAGAGGTGGATGTATTTTATCAGAAGAACGGGTAACTAATAGAGGCAGCATATAGATGGAGCGTTTTTCGTACCCGAGATATCCCTGGCTTCGATTCCCCTGTAGCGCACAACTAGACCAGGAGGCGTAATGATTTGGACAGCGTGATTGGACAAATGCACAAGGTTATGTTCAACGGCCGTGCAGAAGTCGGGGTAGTGCACAGACAGGCACAAGCCATTTTTTTTTCTTCTTTCTCTACATGATTGTGTCGTGTCCCAGTAGCCATGAATCCAAGACGCCTGGCATGGCAGCAAAAGGGCGACGGAGACGACAGGCAGCGGGCAAAAGGCATGGTGAAGGCACTGCAGCGCGCCACTTGTTGGTGTGGGATGATTGGGGCAAGGCGCCGCGTCGCGTAAACAAAACGGCCCCTGCATCGACCCCACCAAGCTACGACCAACGCGGCGCTTCTCACCGCCTGAACCCAGAACACTTCTACCTCCAGCGTGTACGCCTGGAAACCCTGACGTCCCTTTTGACAGCCTGTACGACGCAGCAACCCATCCACCATGCGAGGAGAGGTATGTACACCTGCATTGCGCCTCCAGAGCCATGCATCCGCGCCCCCAGACGCCTAGCCGCCCCCGCCGCCCTCAACCCCTTCCGCCCCGCGCGCCTCTTGCGCCCGTCTGGACGTGGCCACAGCCAGACTCGACCACTGCTAACATGGCCCTCGACAGATTTGCCACCTTCACATCGGCCAAGCTGGAACCCAGCTGGGCAACAGCGCCTGGGAGCTGTACGTGAACGCGCCGCTGCATGCGACTCCAGCCTTGGCCTCCGCGAGCTGACACGATAACCTCCAGCTACCTCCTCGAGCACGGCCTGCTCCCTGATGGTCGTCCCAACCCCGATGCGAAGGAGCTTGGCGAGACTGGTTCCTACGAGACCTTCTTCACCGAGACTGGCAGCGGCAAATACGTCCCCCGTTCCATCTTCGTCGACCTGGACCCTTCTGTATGTGCACGCTGTGCTTGAACACCGAGCAGTGCTGACCGACATAGCCCATTGACGAGATCCGAACCGGCTCCTACCGCCAATTGTTCCACCCCGAGCTCTTGATCAGCGGCAAGGAGGATGCCGCCAACAACTGTGTGTACTGGAAATGAGTTGGGCAAATACAATCACTGACAAGGGCAGATGCTCGTGGCCACTACACGATTGGCAAGGAGATGGTCGACAGTGTGATTGAGAAGATTCGTCGCGTTGCTGGTGAGTGCTATCATCGCTGCCGGCACATTGCGCTTGCTGACCGAAGCAGACAACTGCTCGTCGCTCCAGGGATTCCTCATCTTCCACTCTTTTGGTGGTGGTACTGGTTCCGGATTCGGTGCCCTCTTGCTTGAGCGCCTCTCGACCGACTACGGCAAGAAGTGCAAGCTCGAATTCGCCGTCTACCCTGCTCCGCGCGTCTCCACCTCGGTCGTCGAGCCCTACAACGCCGTCCTTTCGACCCACAGCACCATTGAGAACTCGGACTGCACGTTCCTTGTCGACAACGAGGCTGTCTACGACATTTGCAGGCGCAGCTTGGACATTCCCCGTCCCAACTACGAGCACCTCAACCGCCTGATTGCTCAGGTTGTCAGCTCTATCACCTCGAGCTTGCGCTTCGACGGTGCCCTCAACGTGGACCTGAACGAGTTCCAGACCAACCTGGTCCCATACCCGCGTATCCACTACCCTCTGATCAGTTACGCGCCTGTCATCTCGGCCAAGAAGAGCTCCCATGAGAGCTTCAAGGTGTCTGACCTTACCTTCCAGTGTACGTGTCACGTTTTCAGTAACTCCTTACCATTTGCTAATTTGAACAGGCTTCGAGCCTAACAACCAGATGGTTGTCTGTGACCCACGCAACGGAAAGTACATGGCTGTCGCGCTTCTGTACCGCGGTGACATTGTTCCCCGTGACTGCTCGGCTGCCGCTGGTGCTCTCAAGGCCAAGTCGTCGTTCAACTTGGTCGAGTGGTGCCCTACCGGCTTCAAGCTCGGAATCAACTACACCAAGTATGTCTCCCTGACTCCAGCTTGACTTTCAATTCTAACAAAAATCAGGCCCATGAGCGTCCCCGGTAGCGAGCTCTCGTCGGTCGACCGAAGTGTTGCCATGCTTAGCAACACGACTGCCATTGCCGAAGCCTGGTCGCGTCTTGACCACAAGTTCGACCTCATGTACTCGAAGCGTGCTTTCGTGCACTGGTACGTTGGTGAGGGTATGGAGGAGGGAGAGTTCTCGGAGGCGCGTGAGGATCTGGCGGCGCTGGAGAAGGACTACGAGGAGGTTGCCAGCGACTCTCTGGATGACGAGGGTGCTGAGGAGGGCGAGTACTAGGTTGTGTGTGTGTGTGTGTGTGTGTGGTCGAGGTTTTGCGCATCACCGGGGTTGATTGGAGATGTTTTTTTTATCAAACTTTACTTGCTACGGCAAGCTCAATGGATTTGGATGGTCTGGCAGTCTTGTTCTTGTGTGAAGTTTGACATTGTGAAGTAAGCAGTTTTGTAATCAACATTTTATTCTACTCGAAGCAGACAATGTGTGTGTACATTCTTGGTCTAATAAGTTTTGAAGACAAGGCGATGACTTGGACAACAACAATCTGACTGGATTGGGTATAGATAGTATGTACCTGGCGCACTGCCTTTTTGGCTGACTTTATCCCATCTAACTTATATACATACATACATGACTATATCTACTACTACACTTGACTTGACTTGACTTGACTTGACAATTTCGCACCAAACTCCTTGTTCCACTGATTACTTTCTTTCTTTCTTTCTTTCTTTCAGTCATGACTCAAGTCCCGCTTATAATGCTACTACTTACATACTACTAGTACTAGTACTACTATTCTCTTATTATATTCTTTTTTTTCATCTACTATTTCTTCTTCTTCTTCATCATCATCTTCTTCAGACCGCGCGGTATTCAAGAGAGGCGAGAAAACCAAGAAAAGGAGAAAGAAAATCTCCAAGTATCTAGTTTTTTTTTGGATAAATGTGTAAGTGTAAGTGTAAGTGTATGAGTGTGTGTATAATAATTCTAAACCCCCCTCTACCCCCTCCCAAAAAAAAGGAAAAAGGAAAAGACGCAAAGACGTTTGCCTGGTCGCTGCACAGGGCAAAAAAAAGGGTAGGAATAGTCTTGAAGCGACAAGAAGTGAAGAAGTAAAGAACCAAAAAAAGAGGGGGGGGGAAACATGAATGTAAATGTAAATTTGAAAGTAAAGTGTGTGTTGGATGGAAATCAAGAATATACAGAGAAAGAAAGAAAAACACAGTCATAATTAAACCTGCAAGCAACAATATATTAATGAAACCTCCTCATTTCAATTCCATCCGTCCGCGACCGTACAGGCGGACTAAAGGTGCGTTCGGAATCCGATGTGCGGGGCGGTATAGCGCCCGAGACACCCGGTGCATCGATACTTGCTCTGAGGCGCGTCTGAGAGACTGATTCGCGGATAGCTTGGGAAGAGACAAGGCCCGATCTGGGGTCGAGGGTATTTGTGCGAGGCGGGGTGTCGTAGTCTGCTTCTGGGATGCCTGCCATGACGGCGGAGGTGGCGGATTCCTCGTCTGTGGCGTGGCGGGCGCGGGAGAAGAAGAAGCGGTTTCGGTGTGTGCGTTCGCGCATGGTAGATGAGGCGTTTGTGCCGACGCGCTGGATGCCGCTGCTGCGGCCGCTTTCCTGCGAGTTGCGGCTGCGTTCCTGCGAGGCCGAGGGCGATGACATGCGGGCGACGGTGGCGCGAGCCCGGGATTCGGCTTCGCGGTCGTCGAGGACGTCGCCGCTGGGGTCGTCGAGTCCGATGGATTTCATGCCCAAGGAAAAGTCGACGCGGCGACCCATGGCGGATAGTGTTTCGGGGGCGGTGCGCGAACCCGGTTGGCGGAGGATAGAGCCTTGACGAGTAGGGCCAGTCCCTGCAGAGGGAGGAGCACCGTCGGTAGCACCATTGGCAGGGGGGACGAACGGCTGGTCCCGAGGTTCGTTGCGGAGGTGACCGTTGGGCTGGTCTGGAGTACCATTGATGCCAACACCAGGGGTAGCTGGGTTCTGCAGGTTCTGGAGATAGACAGGGAACGACTCCTTCTGACCGGGGTAGCGCATGCGGGGACCCTCGATGCCGCATTCTTGAATGGCCATGGTGAGTGCGCAGATGAACTTGTTGCGGCGCTGCAGCCTGAGCAGTTCGTTTTGCCAGTTGGACTTGTAGAAGAAGACAATGTTGAGCTCGAGCCAGTGGACTTCCTGCACGGCGCGGAGTTCGGTGAGAATGTTAGTCTGGTACTCGCGCTTTTCAGACGTGACGAATTCAAGGAGCGTGTTGCGGAGACGCTCAATCTGCTCGAGTGTGGTGCCGAACTTGATAATGATGGGGATGGCCTCGGCAAGGGCACCAGAGCGACGTTGGTTGAGGATAAAGAGCGTGTTGAGGTAGCTGTTGGGCGCCTGCACAATGTGACCTTGCATCTTCTTGAACTCGGTGTAGAAGAGGGCGATTTCCTTGACAAAGTAGTCGTCGCCGCGGCCGAGATCACCAGTGTTGCCGTAGATGGTAACACGGTCACCGACATCGTAGGGGTGCTTGACAAAGACGAAGATGCACGACTGCAGAAACTCCTGAGCGGTGGCCGAGAAGAGCCAGGACAGGGCGAGAAGAGCCGAGCCAGCGGATGTAAGCACACCAGCAGCCGAGGTCGAAATGAGAGAGATGAAGACAATGATGGTGATGATGATGACAATAAACATGAAGACATCGTCGAGCTTGGAGACGACGCTATCGAGATCCTTGAGCGAGGCAGTGATGGATTTGCGTTCACGGCCAATCTCAACACAAACAGCTTCGAGTTCTTCCATCGAAATGTCGCCGTTCATGTCCTTGTCGAACATGGAAAAGGCGGCCGAGGCCTCGTCGTCGCTGTCAAAGGCATTGTTGAGGTCGTCTGGGTGGACGGTTTCGGTTTCGGGTCGGGCAAAGGTTCGGTATAGACGGCGGGCCAGCACTTGGGCACCGCTGGTGCTACTGATGAGCTGCAAAACAACCTGGTGGGGGTGGCCACTGTTGGTGACCTGGCGACCGGTAAAGTCACCCGCAACCTTTCCAGCAATGTCTCCAAACTTGTTGAAGCCGACCTTGATGTTCTTCTGCGCTTCGGTCAAGACCTGGCCAGGCGTGCGGGCGCCAGACCGCTGATGCTCCTCGTTCTGCTCAAACTCGGAGTCTTCCATGGCAATCTTCTCCTTGGAGAACTTGTACAGCTTGCCAAGGCTACCAATCTGGAACTTGTTCAGCTCAATTCGGTCCTGGTACGTCCGGAGATGGAAGCTGATGGCAATGAGCTGGATGATGATCTTCTCAATAAAGTTGAGAACAAAGCCGACAAACAGAGCAACGAGCACCCTGTTCATGTCGCGTTCCCAGTCTTTGGTTGCCTTGTTGCCATCGAGGTGGTGGTTCGTCATGGTGGGAAGAAAGGAGATTTCAATGGCCAGCCACCAAAAGAAGAGGGTAGCCGGGAGCTCGAGCTGCTTGCCCATGTCTCGCCACTTCTTGCTGTTGTTGGTGAAGAGACTAGAAACGAGACCAATGGGCCAAGGGAGTAGCTTGGCGAGGACCTAGACGGATGTTAGCGCGTGAATGTGCAGCCATGCTGGGACACTCACTCTGCCCGCCCATAGTGTCAGCCAGACAATCATGAGCCAGACGGAGAACCAGACGAGCTTGACGCCGCCGACAGTGGCCTCTTTGAAGGCCAATGCGCCGATGAGCAGGGGAATCAAGATGATCAAGACCATGGGGGTGATGTAGGTAAAGTAGCGAACGAGCCATGACGAGTTGTGGACCTTTTTGAAGAACTTGGAGAAGCTGGTGGTTGGGTTCTCTGGGGGCGTATAGCGAGCGGCCTGCTCGTGCAGTGGGTTCGTCGCAGCATCAAAGTCGTCGACAAGGTCCTCGCGGCGAGAGCGCACGCGTGTCATGGAGCGGTTGGTGGACTGGTTCCGCATAAGAGCCTCCTTCTCGTCCAGGCCGCGCTCGACTGCGAGCAGGGCAAGGTCATCATTGAGTCTGCTGGCCTGCTCGCGGGTCTGGGTTGGCGATTGCACGCCCTTCATGGGCGGAATGTCTTGCTCGGTGTCGACAGTGAGGTGGGCGCCCGACTGCGATCGGTTGTGATGGGGCCGTGGGGCGGATTGGGAGTGCGGTGGGTTATGCTCGTCCCCCCAAACGGTGCCATCTTCGTCGGAAGATCGCTGACGGTGGTAGGGCATGGTACTGTCCATTTCATACGTCGGCTCTGGGCGCTCGACGTTTGGAGTCGTCATGGCGGACAAGCAGGCTCAGTGCCTTGACGGCAGTGAATAACGATCGTCGCACGGAAGGGAAACGTGGTAGTCCTTGCAGCAACCCTGCGGGCAAGGCCAATGTATGTAGGAATATAGCGGGCGTGGCAGGGGGTGAAACGAGTGTCTGCTTCTTTTTTTTTCGTGGCCAGGGAGCAATCAATGGCTCGGGGCTCCCGTTCTGCGTTGTGCTGTTCCTGGACACTGACCAGACGGGACTAGCGCGACCGAGTGACGTCAGGCGCGGTGCTTGGCTAGGAAGACGACGGGTGCAGCGAGTGACTGAGAGGAGAGCGGCGCGCAGAGGAGGAATTAGAATGCAGAGGACAGGAATGGAGCAAGGAAAAAAACAAGCAGAGGACAGGCGGGCGGGAACAATGGGCAGGCGACGGGTGTGGGTGTGTAGCAGCAGAGTGGAGCAGGGCTGGGGTTCAGGAAAGGAGCAGCGGACAGCACGGAGCCAGGGCATATTTTTGGGGACATGGCAATGCCAAACCTTTGCGGGTGGGAAAACTGGGGCGCAAAGCATTCATGGGCGTGAGGGCGGCCATGGCCGAGGCGGCGGTGGGTCTGGTGGCAGCGTCTAGAAGGCTGGTTGGGGAGGGGGGATGTGCAGAGTGGGCAAGTGGGCAAGTGGGCAAGTGGGCAAGTGGGCAAGTGGGCAGAGTGGACGCGTCGACTCGCACCAGGAAGCGTCAGGACTTGCTGTGCCGCCGCTTTTGCTGGAGTCGCCTTGCAGTTGTGGTTGTGGTTGTGGTTGTGTAGTCGAGTTGCACACGAGGCGGCGTCTTTGGTGACGGGCGCACTTGGCGGCGGCGCCGTTTAGGGCTTGCGGTGGCGGGCGCCACCGACGTCAGGCAGCATGGCTTGCTCAGAATCTTCGCTTGTTGGGGGAAGCGAACACGACCATGGAGAAGCGTCCAGAAGGCTGCATCTCTACAGCAACCTACGCCGACACCCACCACTTCTCCCCCGCGCCGCGGCCAATCGGTCCCCAACGGATATGCCTTGTTAAATACTACATGTACTATAAAGCATACTCGCAGCAGCTTATCTTTAATTTCAGGGCCGCCGTCCTTATCACGCCAGCCCGCTGCCGCCAAACAGCCAAAAAAGCTTGTTCCGCGCCGATCCCAATCCCGCCCCTGCATTTGCCAAGCCTGCGCTCGGATCGCGTCGTGGGGGATTCCTCCCAAGCCCAAGATCGATTCACCCTCACCCTCACCCTCCGCCCCAACTGACAGTGCCAGCTCGTCTCCACGTCCCACACCTGCTCATCACTACCTGCACTGCCCATGTCGCCCCAGCCGCCCGCTCATCTCGTAACACACGGCCAAACTTTGCAGTCGCCGGGTGGAACCCTCTCCACCCCATCTTCATCTGATGACATGACTTGGCCGCGCCCTGTACATGCACATGTACAATAGCCGACTCGGATCGTCCAAGTTACCGATTCCGTCATGCCTCGTGTGGGTCGCCCTCTTTGCATGCATTGTGTCATTCCTCGTCCAACAACACCCGACATCTTTGCCATCTCGATCCGGTGGATACGCCGCCCACTCAAGGTTCCAGCCAAGGTTCCACGTCTTGCTCTGCATCCCATCCCTGTCGTCTCGGTCTTATTTGCTTCCTTGTCCCCGGCCTGCCTGCGAGGCTCTTATCGGTCAGCATCATGCAATTAGATTAAACACGACAACCAAGTATAGCATAGGCAACACACGTAGCCAAGCATAAAAATTCACATGTCAGCTAGCAGTAGCCCTGCCGTCGAGGCGAGGCGCCACCAATCAAGCATCATCGTTGCTGGAAAACGATAGCCTGGGTCGCTTCCGAGCCAACCAATCACGCCAATCACGCCAGCCAATCAGTGCATCACAATCTCTTTCACTACCCCCAACAACTACATTATGTATGTTGAAGAATAAAAATTAATGTCACCTGTTAGTCTGGAGACTATGTATACGACCCTATAGAATTATATTTGCAGATGCTTAGATTGCAACTCCAGTTTGCTAACACTCATCCTTTCCAGCAGCACCTCCTTGATGGACACGGATTGGCATTCACCTATTGGCATTCACCATGCGTCCCTGCGCCACTGGGTTGATGCAAACAAAGCCTTTGTTACACAGCGTCGGCAAACGTCTCTCACTACGTCTCGTTTAAGCCCAAGCTTAGCACTTAAATCACGGCTGCTGTTATGCCTGGTCAAGAATCCAAATTTACAACCATCTACACTCAACTCACACTCCCCCTGCAATCGCCATTTCGGTAGCAATGACGCGTTTCAACAGCAGCAGCTGGCCTCGTGCACTCATACAGAGGCCTTTCATTGCAAGCCTTGCAATCAATCCTTTCGCTGCGAGAAAGCGCTTGCATGGCATAGACGGCATTACCAGGTTAGCCCCAAACCGGCACAGAACCATCTCGAGACTTCCTTGGACCGGAATAGCAATGCAGTTGAGGAATGACTTAGCCAACTTCTCCATTCTCAATACGCCAACTTTCACCGTCCCACGTCATACGTCAAGTCCTGTCTCACTCAATCCAACCACAACGACTACTACACGCTCCAAGAAAACCCTGAAAAAAGCCCCCCCTCCCCCAAGGTGAGAAATCAGGAGGAATTCTTCATGTTTCCCGAACTTCATGCAAGAGTCCAAGAAGCCACCTTTCCGGAAATAACAACAACATGGTTCAACCAGACAAGCAAGTACACTTCAAGCAGCGAATACTGCACTCACGTCACGGGCAAATTCATATGCAACAACAATGCGTGCCAAAATCAGGCGTGGACCAGCAAGAGGGTGTCTATCGAGATACGAGGATATCAAGGAAACGGATACAACGCCACTGTGTACAACCAGAGGTGCAAGTCGTGCAACTGCCTAGGCGCCTTTGAGCTGGACGAAGAATCCTACATTGACCGGGTTTCGTACAGGATCAAGAAGTGGGCGGGTGTGAAAATGAAGCCGCCCCCTTACGAAGAGGCCGTAGACAAGAAGCCACATGAGAGCCAGTTTTGTGAAGGGTGTAAGCGAGGCAAGTGTCAAGAGAGCGGTAATTTTGGTTTTTACTAACGGCTCTCGTCCTGTCTTGTATAAATGATATTGTAACACTAGATCCTGTTCAGCAGCACTTGATTAATTCCCACCAAGTCATCATACAGTGCTTGAACCAATAAGAACCAAATTTTCTCAATACACTATCAAATCACATCAGCTCCGACTGCTCAGCTCCACCTACCTCTTACACACAGCCCAAGACGTCGGCGGACCAAGTCATGTCGGAACCGGAGCCAAGTGGGTCCTCCGGCCACCCGACCGCCCCGCCGACATGCTGTAACAACGCGACGACAACACTTCAGTCCCTCCGACAAACAACGACAAACTACCGCCCGCTAACCAATTGTCCGTGTTAAGAAAGATGCAAAGACATAAAAAGGGCGCGAAATCCTCGGCGATGGCCCTATATGCACCCTCGCTATACACCCACACCAACACGTCTACATCATAATGAAGCCCAGCACCACCACCATGAACGCTCTTGTTGGCGATGAAGCCGGCGGCTACCGACTCGCCCATAATATTGAGATTCCGTGCCCAAAACCCGGCACCATGTTGTGTCGTGTGCACGCCGTAGCCGTCAGTCCGTACGACGCCAAGATCTCCGACTACTCCAACATCCCCGGGGCCATTGGCGGCTGCGACTTTGCAGGCATCGTAGTCGAAGTCGGCGACGACGTGAAGCGCTTCAAGGCAGGCGACCGCATTCTCGCCGTCACATTTGGATTGAATGCGCTGGACAAGTCGGCTGGTGCTTTCGCAGAGTACGCGCTTGCGACTGAAGACCTCGCCTGCCATGTTCCAGATGACATGTCGCTGTCCCAAGCAAGCTCCGTGGGTCTCGCTGTTGCAACGGCTGGTCTGGCTCTTTTCCAAGCCCCTGGATTGCAACTCAGCATGCCGCGTCGCGAGACGCCAGAGCAAGAATCACCGCCGTTTGTCTTGGTTTCCGGAGGTGCAACAGATACTGGTACCATGGCCATCCAGCTTTTGAAAATGTGAGTCTATAGCCACACACACACACACTCCTTCTCTTGCTAAAGTTCGTATCCAGCGCGGGCTACACCCCCATCGTCACATGCTCACCCCGCAACAACACACTATGCACATCCTACGGCGCGGCTGCCTGTTTCGACTACCACTCTGCCTCGTGCGGCGCCGACATCCGGTCCCACACATCCAACAGCCTGCTGTACGTCTTCGACTGCGTCACCGATACCGAGACAATGCGCATGTGCTACTCGGCGCTGGGGTCCTCGGGCGGCAAGTACATCGCCATCGAAGCGCTCGACTGCGCCATCAAATACACGCGCCGCGACGTCGTCGCCGACTGGCTCATGGCACCCACCATCATGGGTTCCCCAGTCCTGATTTCAGGCACCTACGGTAGACCCAGTACGCCTGCGCACCGCCGCTTTGGAGCTGCGTTTTTCGCCCTCGTGGAGACGCTGTTGCGCGAGGGAAAACTCAAGGGCCATCCCGTGCAGATGAGAGATGGCGGGCTTGCGAAGATCCCTACGTATGTGGATAATGTGCGGGTGAGGGGTGTTCAGGCCCAGAGGCAGGTTGTGCCGTTGGTTGTTGAGTAGGAGGGGGGTGGGTTGTTTGATATACTTGGAGATTCTGGAGTTTTTATTTTTATTTATTTATTTATAGAAGTACAATCGTTATGCTTGAAAATCACAGACAAATGAGTCACATTTGACTACGTACATATTATCCAGAGCACTTGGATATCTATATCCCCCCCCCCCTTTTTTTTCCCCCACACATTCTCCATTCCTCAAGTTTACTTACTTACTTCCTTGCATGTCAAAAAACCAAAAAAAAAATCCATCTTGTTTCGCTTGCACAAATACGACTGGACAAGTCTACATCTAACTTGTTTTTTTCTTCACTTTTCAGACGTAAAACCCCAAGGACTCTCTACTTGACTTTTCTTTCCCCGATACCATATTCTCGCATTATACATAGTACCGCGTCAACTTCTTCTTCTCTGATATTTCCGCATAAGTAATGTCATTTTCATAGCACCGGGAGAGAAAGAAAAGATTGTACAAGAGTACGTTTCTCCCGCTTTCCCCAACTAAGTAGATTGAAATAAAATAAAATAAGATGAAATAAATTAAGTAAGTAGGACTTTTACATGCATCTCTACTCCACGGCACGCAAGACCCCATGTGACTCAAGCTGTGCCAACTCCACGAAAACGGGGCAAAAAGTCCTTCTCTCCTTCCTTGCTTGCTTCCGTCCTTCCTTGCCGTGCTGCAAGTCAAAAGAAAAAAAAACCCCCCGCGGTACGTACTTACCTCGGCGTGTGCTCCGCCACCGTCACCGCCGCCGACCAAATGTCTCGCAATACCGATTCTCTGGCTCCGGTGGCTCCGATGCGGGCGTGATGCCGGGGGGGGGGGGTGTTCGATACCACGGCGCCGGTCCCGTACCGTTCGCCGCTAGCCTATGCCAGCGACCGACTACCAAGGCGTTTTCTTTTCTTCTCCGGTGTGACGGAGCAAGGGAGGGGGGGGGGGGAAACTCCGGGGGATTCTGCAACTGGAAGCATGGAGGGAAAGGGGAAAGGGGAATGGTCGTGGTAGTAGTGCAGTGTTGAGTGGAGTGTGGAGACGTCCCGGGGTTAGGGGGTTTTTTTTTGCGTCGAGTATTTATATACTTCAACTGAGGGGGGCAGTAGGGTGGAAAAAGTTGTGTTTATTTTTGCACTACTATTGAGGTTTGAGATTACGTTTTCGGTATCCTTACTGTTCATTCCACGGGAAATATAAATCTACTGCGACTGATTTTACGCGCGTGTTTGTGAGGGTTTTTTTTCTTTTTTTCTTGAACGTATATAGCGACGGGGGATATAAAACGGACGACGGAACGAAAGAGAGAGAAGAAAAAAAAAGCGAAGAAAGAGAATAAAGAGAAGAGGAAGAAATAAGAAATGTCCAACCGCCAGAATATCGAATTCAAAACCCTCAGCGGCGTCACGCTGCGCGGATGGCTGTATCCGAGTGAAACGCAAAAGAAAGGACCGGGCATTATTCTGTCGGCTGGTGTATGTATTTCTCCTTCTTATTCCTCCTTCTCCTTCTCTTCCTCCGCCGCTATTCCTGAGTTTCCAGCGAAAAGAATAAATGAAAGGAAAGGAAAGAAAATAGTCACAATGAGAAAAGAAACAAGGAAAGAAGCTGATGAGATATCACACAGTTCAACATGCCCAAAGACGTCGTCGTCCCGGACGTCGCAGAATGGTTCCAGCGGCACGGCTTCACGGCCCTGGTCTTCGACACGTTTGGCATTGGCGAGAGTGAGGGGTTGCCGCGGTGTGATGTACGTCCGTTTTCCTAATCCCATCGTCAACCTCATTTCCCTAGGCGCGGGAACTACTTGATATCTGACAAGACTGATGTGATTATGTATTTCAAGACCAACATGCACCGCCGCGTCGAAGACTTCATCGACTCGATTACTTTTCTCAGTAGCCACCCGCTCGTCGACCCCCAGCGCATCGTCCTCTGGGGCCTCTGTTTCGACGGCAACATCATGTTGGCGGTCTCGGCGCTCGACACGCGTGTTGCTGCTGTTCTCGCCATCGCGCCCATGATCGACGTCTCGGGCGACTCGGAGCGGCACGCCGCAATCCGCGAACTGGGCGTCGCAGATCGCGCAGCACAGCTCGACGGTGAACCGCCCATGTACCTCCCGCTGGTCGACGAGGACGGGATTATGCCGCTGGGCCAGACATCTGGCCTGGGCTTCTTCACTACCATGCAGGGCATGCAGCTTCCCGTTGAGAATCGCGCGACGGTCCAGAGTTACCTGCGGGGCTTATCCTGGAGTATCGAGCATTTGCTGCCGAGGATTAGTCCCACGCCCGTCTTCATGCTGACGCCAGAGCTGGACCAGGTGTTTGCTGCGGAGCGCCAGACCAAGGCGTTTGAGATGCTGGGGGAACCCAAAGAACAGTTTTTGGTCGAGGGAAAGGATCATTTCAATTGGATGTTTGGCGATGTGGATGCCGTGTTTGGGAGGCAGTTGCGGTTTTTGAAGAGGTTTGTCGCGGTTTGATGGGTCGTGTGGTTGGGGGAGGGATTGGTTGTTAGGCGTTTGGTATATTTATGGGTTTATTATTATTATTATTATTATTCTAGTTTAACGTCCTTTTTCAGCCCGAAGGGCTATATAAGACGTGTAGGGTTTTAAGGCCTACAAGTATCTAAGTAGGTTGTTTCTAGCTACGATATTTAAGAGGGGTTTTAACTAGATGAAGGTGAGGCTCGTAGCCTATTGGTTGGTAGGTAGGGGGTGAGGATAGGGTGGGGGAGGTGTATGGCTACCTGTTACAGGTATTACTCCTCGTT